GATTGGGTGATTGATTGTTTGCATTATTGTATAGTTTATTGATGCAATGGCTGACTAATAGATGTTCTCTAATTATTTGATTACTAATTTGATGTTTTAGATGTTTTAATATTTGATAATTCAATGATTGGTTTATTTAATTATCAATTGAGATGATGATGAGATGAGATGATGATGAAATGAAATGATGATGATGATGTGATGATTACTAATTTAATTATTGATGACCTCATGAATGTTAATTTGATCATTTGATTCCTTTCAAATTGGTTTATTTGATTTATTGTTAATTTAACTCTTTTGGTTTGACTAATTTCATTGTTAATTAATTTAATTTTGAGTGAATTTCTTCATTTTGAATTGATTTCTAAACTTGAGATGCTTCCTCCCATGTTCTCCTTTGTTTCTAACTAATTTTAAATTGGATTTCAGCCATTCTTTCACTAATCCTTCCATCTAAACATACCAGTAAGTACCTTTCCTTCCTCTTTCCATATTCCAATTGATAAATCACTAATTTTAATTATCTAATGCTTTAATTTTTAATTCCTTTCTTGACTTTAGTTTCAAATTGGAATATTCTTTTACTTTCTAATTCAATTTTAATTAATGTTTATAATTCCTTTCCAATACATTTAATTTTAATCTTTAATTAATTTAATCCTTCTTTGATCTTCAATTCTTTCAATTTTAAATTCTTCAATTTGTAAACTTCTAAAGTTGTAAATTTTGAGCTGGTGATGTAATTTGATTTGCAATTGGAATAATTAAATGATGAACAATTTACTAATTGCTTTGTGCTTTGAGCTTGAGTATTGATTCCAATAAGATAATCCCTCCTCTGCATTTAACCTTGATATAATAAGATTTGCTCACCACAGCGAGCAAAGAAAAGAAGCAAATTCCGCGCAGCAATCACGCGACACAGCAATCACGTGATTGCTGCGCGCAGCATTCCTGACCTAACTTGGTGAGATTGTGGAGTATATAAGGCATAAATTTCCAACCCAGAACAATCAAATTTTCATTTAACACACAAATTTCATACAAAATTACTAAACCAGCCCAAACCCGTGAACAGACCCGACCCAACCCAACCCAACCCGACTCAAAACAATGGCAATGAATCAAGTGAGTTACAATAAATTCGCCTCAGCTCATCATTCACAATTCCTCTCTGTCATTCAATCCTTCGATCCACTTCAATCGTTTGTTCAATGAACTATTCAACATGACCACCGCTTTCACGCATCTTAAGAATTGCCGTGGCAATCCAGCTCGCCGATGGTGAGCGATCCGAGAAGAATTGATAAAGGACAAGTTGAAAGATCGTCAAGCTGATATTCAACTTCGCCATCAGAAAACGATTGGCTCATCCAACAGGAAAAGGAGACTTCAAAATGGACCAAAAATCCGTGACAGTACGGTAAGTCGAGCACAACCAGACGAGCACTCCACATTAAGTTGAGCTGACTTCAGACTATTCTGGAGGCTCCTCCGACCACCAGCCATGACTCTTCGATGCGGAGTCCAAGTACCAACGTACCAGCGACGCCTCGAGCAGTAAGTTATTAATACAGTTATATACCTCATGCAGACGAATTGAGGACAGTTGAGTTCACCGCAGAATTTGACGCCAATAACCGATCTCATGGCACCTCGCAAGGTGAGTGAAACAAAGGCCACACAGTGTTCGCAAGGAAACTCGCCAGCGGCGAGCTAAGCTGCACGGGAACCGACATGAGTTTCGGATGTCAGGCCGCTGCGGTGGTTGATCCTACGCTTACCACCCCGGTTCAAGCGTCCGAACCATCGAGAGTGACAAAGGTGAAACAACTCCATGGTTCAGTGCTATCAGTCATGTGCTTATCCTCCAATACTCCACAGGAATTCCGTAATGGCAAGGTGGTCCCTAAGAAAGCGCCAGCAAAAGGTCATGATGAGGTGAGTCAATTATGAATGCCAAGCTCGCCGATGGCGAGCATATCACCAAGACAGTGAGCTAACTGGAATTCCCCTCAACAGACTCACAAGGTTGGGCACACTTTAGACAAAGGTCCAGGACCGACTGGCGCAGATCAGGTGAGGACAATCTGTGGGGAGGACAAACTTGTCCGTCACGGCCACAGAACAACCCTGACATCTCACTTTACAGCCGGCAGAACCAGCGACGCCAGCGCCAATCACTCAAGAAGATGACTTGGAAATGGACGACAGCTTCTTGTCAGAAGTAGCCCGCAAGGTAAGATACGACTGTACTTCATAGTGACGCTCGCCAATAGCGAGCACACGCTGACTCACGTGGAGTCACAGCATCCCAATGTGATGGTTGAAGGAAGCCAGGTTGATCCGCAAATCACGACCGAGGTGAGTGTGGCTCGCCAACGGCGAGCATGACGCGTGATATGACTCAACTAATCAATACGACACAATACAGAACGCACAGGTGCCTGAGGAGATGGGAAATACCACAGGGAACGATGCTCAAAAGCTAAAAGTCCAGTTGAGGTGTGAACCTCAGTACAGTCTATCGCCACTTGCGAACATATGGGACACGACACTGACATAGGCACCTTTCAAACGCAGGTCACTCCAGACGTACATAACGTGGATGACAGGGTGGAAGCCGAGGAGATCAAAGCAGACGACACAGTGAGTCCCCGGAAAGTATGTATTTGCCAAACATTCTTGTTATAGTCCAGCACCAATCTCACCAACTCTCATCATCGATCTGTTTTGCAGAAGCCGGCAGCAGGCGAAGGCGGCACGCAAAGCATGCAAGGAGTCGAAATAAAAAGAGCAAAAGCAGAGTTCGAAGAAGGTCAGTCCAGATGTTGTTCTTCCTCAGTGGTTATGAAACTGACACACATGTTTTAATCCGAATGCAGTTTGCGACCTGTATAACACTCTGAAAGCGCGAGTAGACAAACTCCAAGAGAAGGCTTCCAAAGGCGCCATCGATGCGCAACTACATATTCTGATGAATACGCTGAAGGAGTTAAATAAATCGATGCTGGATGCTGAGAACAAACTTCTCAATGTGATGACCAGTGCCCACCCGGAGGTAATATTCGTTCAGTCAGTATTCATGCCAGCAACTCTACCTACAAAATTAGAGCACGGCAAAACTTCAGATAAAAAGAAGAGTAAGCACAGTAAAAAATCAGGTGAGAAACAACTGATCAACTTACATAAGCCATGTGTGAATAAACTGAAGTTTGTTTGTCGTGTTGACCTAGGCAAAAGGCGCAAGAGCTCAGATGAATCCCAGAATGGTCAGTAATTGTACCCAGTCAGACAATGAAGATGTTGGGTCATTGACGATGCTTGGGTTTCATAGGTAAGAAGAAAAAACGAAAGATGCGCGCCGCGGACTTTGCGATGGATGAGGCTGTCGAGTGCAACAAAGAAACCCGTTCAGACATCGGAGTCAAAGCAAAACGTCCAAGGATTCAGTCAAAGGAGTTTGTTGATGACGAGGACATGCCTCCCAAGGTTGACGGGCCACCGGAGGAAGAAGTCGTGGTTGCTACGGACAAGTCCAAGAAGCAAAAGAAAAAGGCTGACAAGGAAGCAGAGGAGGACGAAGATGAAGAGGTGAAGAAAAAAGTGATAATACCTGAGATGTACAGGAAAGGGACCAAGCCGGATCTTGCGTGTAAGTCTTCATTATGAATCTTTTTTCCCCAGTCTTGACGGCTCACCAAGAGCTCGCCAACGGCGAGCCATTGTGAAGCCATCTATCATTCAAATAGTCAACTTTCCTTCATCTACGAGTGACGCTCGCCACTAGCGAGAGTCACTCGTTCGCCTAGCTAGCGCCCCAGCGCCGCGGGGGCTCGGGCCCAGGACGCACAGGACGCAATTGGCAGGATTGCGTCCTGGTCTGTCTGCCGGGAGCCGGGAGCCCTAATTTACAGGACGCAATTGGCAAAAGTCCGCCAAAATGGCAAGTTCGGCGGACTCCAGACAGGGCATATGGAAAATGAGGGATTTTGGAGTCCGCTGAAACGGCAAGTTCGGCTGAGCCCAGAAAGGGTATATGGAAAAAGAGGCTTTCTGGAGTCCGCCGAAATTGCCATTTCGGCGGACTCCAGACAGGGCATATGCAAAAAGTGGGATTTTGGAGTCCGCTGAAACGGCAAGTTTGGCTGAGCCCAGAAAGGGCATATGGAAAATGAGGGATTTTGGAGTCCGCTGAAACGGCAAGTTCGGCTGAGCCCAGAAAGGGTATATGGAAAAAGAGGCTTTCTGGAGTCCGCCAAAATGGCAAGTTCGGCTGAGCCCAGACAGGGCATATGCAAAAAGTGGGATTTTGGAGTCCGCTGAAACGGCAAGTTCGGCTGAGCCCAGAAAGGGCATATGGAAAATGAGGGATTTTGGAGTCCGCTGAAACGGCAAGTTCGGCTGACTCCAGAAAGGGTATATGGAAAAAGAGGCTTTCTGGAGTCCGCTGAAATGACCAGTTTGGCGGACTCCAGAAAGGGCATATGGAAAAAGAGGGATTCTGGAGTCCGCTGAAACGGCAAGTTTGGCTGAGCCCAGAAAGGGTATATCTGCAGTCCGCCAAACCAGTCATTTGGACAGACTTTTATATGCTTGTACCAAGGTGACCACTTGGTGTTTATTAATCAATATGCTTGTACCAAGGGTATCACTTGATTCGAATCAACAAATATGCTTATAGAGGGGGACATTTTCCTAGCTAGCGCCCCAGCGCAGCGGGGGCTCGGGGCCAGGACGCACAGGACGCAATCTCTGCAGTTGCGTCCTGCAGCCCTGCCGCCAGCCGGGAGCCCATTTCTGCAGGACGCAATTGCGTCGGATCCGCCGGAATGATCCACTCGGCGGATCACCTCAAAGCAAACCGCACTTGACTGCGTGCCAAAGTACGTAGCACTCCGCATCCCAGTCCGCCAAGACGACGATTTTGGCGGACCCACGACGCGGGGCTAAAGACAAACTAGGTATTTAATGAAGTAGCAAAGCTCTATGGCCCAGGCATTATAGTGTAGCGGTAAAAGCGAGAGACTTACATGCGGTAGCTTGCAGGACCTGGGTTCGAATCCCAGGTGTGACATTTTTCTAAACGTGACATGTTCGCGCGTGACAGGTCACGCACACGTTTACGACCACACATGCAAACATTTCACAGACCTAATGTAACCTAGATTGATGAGAGTCCTTTCTTGAGGTAAACCTACATCCCTCAAATCCAAATTTGAGATCGATCTTGAATCCCAAACATCCCACATTCGATTTGACTTTCACCTCAATCACTCCATTCAAATTAACATCCACAGTTCCACACCACCAATTCCATCATCCACCTTTAACCCAGAGCTCAGCACCTGAATCAGCCATTTATAAAAGCCTATCATCCCAATCACACAAAGCAACTTCGAATCGAATCAATCCAAAGTTGTTAAGAAGTAAGTTGAACAATAAGCACCCCCCAAGTATTAGATAGGCTCAATCGATCTCACCACCCAGTCCACAGCAAAAATGTCCCAAGTGAGTCAAAGCTTCAGTCTTATCCAGCTTGTGATACCAACACTAATCATCATGTCGTTTCACAGAACATCCAGCCAGTCGAATCAGCCATTGCAGCAGGGAGAGCACAAGTCACTCAAGACAACAGAAGTGTAAGTCCGATCAATCAGGAGTCAAACAAGTAATACATGATACTGATAAGGAGATGAATGTAGGCCATAACGAAAGGTCAACCCCGAGCGCTCGAAAACACACCACCGAACGTTGACAAGGGTCTCGACGCAATGGACATAGTAAGTAAGAGATACCTCGCGAGCGAGGTCCAACCTGATCAGTTTGCTTGCATAGGACGACAACAATACGTCCAAAGGACGTAGCGCAGGCGGAGGTGACGCTGAGGCCGATGAAGAAGATGGTGAAGTAGGCAAGGATGCAAAAGAATCCGAGCAAGGCACGGTAAGCAAGATTAAAAACTGATCAAATCAAACGACATGGCTGATCAAATCATCCGGTAGAGCAATACGCAAATCTTAACGACAAAGGAGAAGATCAATAGCGTAAAGATCAAGAAGATTAAGCGCAAGGAAGAAACTGTAAGTGACGTCCGCCAAACCCCTCCTTTCGGCGGAAGATTGTCTTCCCCCACTCTAGTGTCCGCCGAAAGTGGTGTTTCGGCGGACTCTCAATCCCCTTAGCTACCACATCAGAGCCTTGAGACCTCAGGGTTGGGGTGCATTGGGGTGCAACTGGCTGGGTGCACCCCAATGTTCTTGCCTTGAGCCTTGAGCCCCAAAATATTGGGGTGCACTTACAAAAAAGTCCGCCGAAATCCACTTTTCGGCGGACTTTTTTTACCAACATTAAACCAAAACCTTTACGTGGAGGTTGATTCTCAATTTCAACATGCACCCGCAAGTCAGTCACATCCAACCTCTCAGATGTGACACCCCCACAATATCATCATCACGTCATGCATCCTCATCAGTTTGAGACAGAGTTTGAAATGATGGTTAAGAGTTTGAATGAGGAACAATGCGGTGGAAGCCACCTGCCCAATATGTACACCCTTACACAGTACATAGGAATTACTTGGCCATTTGGCTGTGCCCAGGTCTTGGGTTAAAGTGAACCATGGCATAAGTATTCAAACTCATATGTATGAGTACAGGAGCTATAGTGTAATGGTTAGCACACTCGACTGCACTTCCAGTGAGGTGGAGGACCTGGGTTCGATTCCCAGGTGCCCACCTTTTGAAAGTCAGCATGTCACATGTGTGAAAGGTCTCATACAGGTTGACCTGTAATTCTGGAATTGACATGTAACCACCAACCACAAGTCAGCCTAACATGATATGACTTTAATTTGGGTCAAAGTCGAACATGACTTTCATCAACCCCCAGTCGATTTTCATTTCGAATTATCTCAAAGTTCCATTCATCCACTTTATTATCAACAAAATCAATCCATCTCCACTATCATATCAATCAGCTGATTGTCAACAAAAGCCATCACCTCCAATCAAAACCAAACACCACATCCTCATAATAAAGTAAGTCATGAAGTCGATCTGAAATCAAGTCAGTCAAGCTGACCTCATGACTTGATCCAAATAGGTATCATGTCTCAGGTAGGAATAATACCATGAAGTATGCAAGAAGCAGGTAGGGCATGTTACTAACTCATCTCATCTTGTCCATCTGAATGTAGGCAATGCAAGAAATCGATTCACAGGAACGACCTGTGACCCCATTACCTGCTTCTGGAAACAAGGCTAGTATCTCCCACTCATCACCTACACCACTCCCTTCCATTCCTCTGATAGATTGTGTATCCAGAGAGCTTCTCAAGTCTTAGGAAAGATCAGAAAGCCCAAAAAAAACAAGTCGAAAGGCAACATGGAGGATGTTCCAATAGGGCGGTTCAAGAAGGGAAACTGCGAGCACTTGTACGCAGCGCGCCGATCTGCTTTAAAAGTGGGTCCGCAACTTTTAAAGCCAGATCGCGTAGTTGCAAAATCCGTAATTATAAGTTTTAAGTCTCGGCCATTTCAGGCCCAACTGTCTTTTTTTTTTTGTCTTGGATCCAACGTCTCATTGCTTTTTTTTATTCTTTTGTTTTTGATGATGTGACTCTGATGAAAGGCCTCTCAGTTGAAAGCGTGCCCTCCCCCCGTTTGATCGGTCTTGATCACTTCAGCCTTCTTACGTTCGAACTATGCCCCGCATCTCCGACCGAGTGGCTGTCATCCAAGAACTTACCCAGCTTATCGTCATTGCTCATGTGGATTCTGATGTCGTCTTACCTGGCCAACCACCCAATCCCCTCAACCCAACTGACGGCCAGATGATATTCGGTTCTGACCACGAAATGGCCGACACATACGACCTGTTGTTTGATGAAGAACAAGAGTGGTCTGACCTTCTAGCTCACGTGGTCTCGAGACGCTACTTAAATGATCGAGTTCAATTCAAATTACCTACGGTGTTCGACTTACGAGATATGCTCCGCTCAAGAAGAACTGACTTCCGGCAGGCTATGCGAACAACACCAGAGGGTTATCAAGCACTCCTGGACTTGATTCGAACTCATCCAGTCTTTGTTTCCACCGGAAACCATTCTCAGCCCCCAGTGACGAAGCAATTAGCCATTACCCTGGAACGACTTGGAAGCAACGGAAACGGAGCTTCCGTTGGCCGCTTTTCTCGCAACTACAAAGTCGGTCGCGGGTCTGTGATCAATTGCACTCGCCGGGTGATAGCGGCAATTTTAGACAGAGGTGCGCAGTATCTGTTGTGGCCTACTCCCGAACGGCGCAAGGCCATCTCAAACGTGCTAGCTCGTGAACGTTTTCCCGGCTGTGTCGGATTTGTCGATGGAACAACAATCCCTCTATTTCAACGCCCAGGTCGAGACGGCGAGGTCTTCTTTGACCGCAAGCACCGCTACTCAATCAACGTGCAGATAATCTGTGACTGCGACAGACGGGTTACCTACGCTTACGCAGGCTGGCCTGGGTCATGCTGCGATAGCACCGTGTATTCGAAGACCCAGATTGCAAATCATCCGGGTAGATACTTTGATTCAGGTAAGTGTTTTGTTTGGTCTGACTGATTGTCTTCCTGATTTTGACATTCAATAATTTCAGAGGAATACATCATAGGCGATTCAGCTTACATTACATCGGAAACTGTGGTCCCCTCCTATAAGGGACAGGCTGCCGAAGTTGAGCGCAACAGGGAATTTAACTGGTGTGTAGCAAAAGCGCGAGTTCGAAATGAGCACGCGATTGGGATCCTCAAGGCTCGTTGGGCCTCGCTCACAGGTTTACGACTGGCTTTGAACAGCCGTGGAGATATGCAGCATATCCTCCAATGGATTCGTTGTTGCGTCATTTTACACAACATGCTAGCCGATCTCGGTAGCACTTGGACGGAGGAAGATGGTGATGTAATGGCGGAGCGTGGTGAAGGGGGGCATTTGCAAGTTGGACAAATCGCCGATCTTGCGCTTGTTGAAAGAGGCAGGTTGAAGCGAGAGACTGTCCGCGACTACGCAGTCGCTTATAACTGGCAGAGCGGGGGACTCCCAATTACTCAATGATCCATGATAACTGATGAATATTGTGAGTTGAAGAGTTATTGAATCATCATCTCCTTTTTTTGATTTTTATCTTCCTCAAGAATCACACTTATCATCAATCCGTTTGTTTTGATATTCTTGAAGTGTATAATGTTTTGAAAGACAAATGTCTTTTACCAAAAAAAGGTTCAGCGATGATTAGATTTCATTCCTTTTATCCTTGGCATAGAGATGGAGCTTATCGTCAATTTATGAACGAAGGTGATCAAAAGCTTTTAGAAGCTGTGATTGAATTTAATCCATATGGTAATCCTTCGATCTTTCCATCTCTAAATCCTTTCTCTCTTTCAATGATCCATGATAACTTCATTACATCATATAAAAGTGCTAGAACAGCCTACATAGCGATTTGTACAATACTCGAGAATGTAAATCTTATTATAATCCTAATGTAAATCTTATTTGAAATCCTATATTGTCGCTCTACTTCAGAAATCATCAGTTTGATTTCTTTTTCCTTTTTCTCATTGGTGCGGTGCAGGCTCAATTATTTAAAAGGCATGGGCATACATATATATTGAATTACATCGCATACATGTAAAGAAGGAAATGGACAAAGTGAGAAAGAAATTTACAAAGTGAGAATGAAAATTACAAAGTGAGGATCACATCGCATACATGTACTGAGTGACAGTTAAAAACTGAGAGAGGTGATCATCATCATCATAAGCTTACCTATACTCTACACTGGATAGCTATCAGATCTTGAGGTGCTTGCGCTGTCAAATCTTGAGGTGCTCATACCCTATTGGAGTCCCTGTTTGTCACCCACAACACAAACTCAGCTATAGTTTAACATATGAAATCTATAGCAAAATAAATCTTACAATGGGGCTTCGGAAGGGTATACCAGGGGCAGGAACGCCTCAAGCTCTTGAGGAGTCTTTCCTTCCAAGACCAAACGCTCACAAAACGCCTTGCGTTCTCTCTGAGCCTCCTGTTCAAGA